GATTGGGCAAGTACTGCAACCCCCACTCCATATTATGCACTAATCTTACATTTCATAGCTACCTGAAATAAATAAATTTTGTGAAATCAAGCTTGATCAACCAATAAAGAGGCAGTCAAACATCAGTAAATTCCTTTGTGAACCAATCAAAATTAAGATCATTCATGAAATGAATTTGTGGCATATTCGTAGAATAATTATTGGTAAAAATCAGTTAGATTAACAACTTCAAATGTATAAAAAAGCCAATGCATTTTGATAACACCAGGTTTTAACATAGACTTTTGTCATGTATAAAATTAAATGTATAGACAACAAAACTGGAAAAATATTTGTTGATTTTTTAATTAAAATCTCCATTGATTAAAAAGGTTTGTTTTTATTAAAACTTGATGATATAACAGAAAACAGCTTAATTCATCAACGAATTAGGTTTAAAATTGAATCAATATTTTTACTTTCATGATAAATTTTATGCACTTGGCTCTAGGCTAGTTAATCCCACACTACATCTTAAGGCTTATTATACCAACACTCACTACATTTATAAGGTTTCATGGCACCCCCTCACGACCCCTTTGCACCCCATCACTAAAATTGTAATAGACAGACAGTAATCAAACTATTCTAACAGGATAAATGCATTTTGGCTTTTATGACTCCTCCTATTTCGAGAAATCAAGCATGACATGACACAACTGGCTTTTATATAGGGTAGATAGATCAGTTGATGCACATATGCAATAGATGTAACTATTTCTGTATATTTGCAAAAAAAAATTAAAATATGAAGAAGTAACTGTCTAATTATCATTTTTAATATCAGAAAATATGGATTATATACTTGTAATGACAACAGCAAAAAATAATTGTTGGCATTGCATATGTAATTATTTTTAATATTGTCTGATAAAACAGATTTTCATTTTCACTTAACAGGGCAAAATGGATGCTGATTTGTATGATGAATTTGGAAACTACATTGGACCAGAAATAGATAGTGGATCAGAAGATGAAGATGGATATGATAGAGAGAATGATAATGAGCAAGAGTATCATGAGGTACAAATTTATTTCACATTGCTAGAAGAGTTTCTAATTTGTGCCAACATAATGATTTTATATTCCTTTGCATGTAATTGTTCTTGATATTTATAGTCCCCTAAATATTATTAATTTAAGTTCAGATTAACTCCAGGTAAAAACCTTAGCTTTGATTATCCACTAGAATCTCTTAAATTCTGAGACTTTAGCTCACTTTGCAGGCTTTGTACACAGAATAGCTTAATTCTTTTACACATCTGTCTATGATATTTGCATGCCAGTAGCCTTAGAGTACCTCTCACCTGGAAAACATATATTTGATATGAATTGCACTAGTGCATAATGTCATCATCATGCACCAGTAGCCCTTCACCAGTAGGAGGGCGACACAACCTTCTTGTGCACTTATGCTTAAATTAACTTCATCCTTTTCCTCTGCATTGTCTAGAATGGACATGTTTCAAAATGGTTAATCAATTACTTGAGATTTGCATTAATTTCCAACTGAGTTAGATTTTCTTTAAGTTTACCTGGTTTAGTGTTCATGATTCACATAACCAGCATGAGTTCTTTTAATTTCACTCAAGAAAAAAAAAAGAGTGAGTTCTTGCCATTATGAATTCTCAAGTGGTGACAACTTCTACTTCCTTTTGTTATAGTGACAATATTACTAACATGGTACTTGTGGCTACTGAAGCTCATTGTCTGTGAAGGATGTGGCAACCATTATTCAATGTGTTGTAGATTCCTTCATGCATATTGGACCTTCTCCTCCTTGGCCAATGTTTCTGCTCTCTCATTTGAACATGACCAGGTTGATGATGCTTTTGACTGGCCATTTACACCCACCAAAGTCTGCTTTAGGCACAGCTTTATCTGTGGAGGAAAATCCTCATCATTCCAATCTCTTCCTTGACTTGATTTCACAGACATGTTCATTTATCTCTCATGCCCCTCTGTCTTTCAATTCCTTCCTTGCTTTACTACATGAAATTCATACTCCAAATTATTTTGTCATTCCTCCTTCATTGACATTAGGGTCCATGCAGACTTGTTTCTCAAACATCTGCACACCCATACTAACATATCTCATCCTCCTCACCTACTTGACTCTTTTGCTCTTGCTTAAACCCATTGTTCATTTCCATTCTTTGATTCCCAGTCTTTGGAACCTCTTTTACCTGCTTGAAGTGGTGACCATTTGACTTTTAATTCCTTTTATAGTGCCTAATTTTTGTGTCTTTATCTTTTTCTCACCACCCTCCTATATTACCTCTTGTCACTTCACTTTATGTCTGAGGCACTTCATTGTGCCCCAGAGGGGTTTTCTAAAGAGGTTCATTCCCTTCTTTTCATCACATTGGCCTGCAATTCATCTACTTGTTGGGATGCTCTCCCAACTAATGTATGCCTCCCTCACATTACCTCTGTGATTATTGTAGGGCTCCATTTCTTCACTCAGAGGTCTTGAGGGGGTGTTCCTGACTCATTGGAGACCCAGACCCAAACAGCCTGGCATCAGTCCTCATTGTCTACTGTGGTTTCTCAACCTCCCCATTCTATTCCTAGGCCTGTTGAATCCATGTTTCTCCTGCCCAACCTCCCACTTTCCAACATCAGGGTAATTGCTTGTCTTATCAGTGACTACCCTGTCAGGTCTAGCCTTTTGGGAGGCTCTTTTGTTTCTTTTCACCAGCCTTTGGTCTCCATTTTTTTTTGATGGGTGGATTCTTCAGGTTCTCACCCATGGCTTATCCCTCCATTTCTCCTCCTCCCATTTTCCAGTTCCTTTCCTTTTCTCTCTAACTCTCTTTATCTTCAGTGTCTCAAGGATGTGGTCTCAGATCTCTTGGCAAAGAACACCATAGTGAGAATATTTGCCCCTGCACTGAATTATTACTCTTGTCTTTGTAGTCCCCAAAATGACGGGACTGGTGTCTGGTTATCAACCTGTCATCTCTCAACCAGTTTCTTGTTATCCCTTGATTTCATATGTAGGGTTTCTTTTCTCTCAGGTGATTCTTTTCACTCAGACTGTGGATGACTTTTTACATATTCTAATCCTCCATGTACTCTTTTGGGATCATGTCTTCCATTTCTGTGCTCTTTCTTTTGCCATTGCATCTGCTCCTTATGTATTCAATCGAGTCATGGGGGCATTCACCCCTATGTTCACAGATTGGGGCTGAAGTTCAATTATCACATGGATTATTTGTTTGTGCTTCCCCCATTTTGGGAGGACTCTTTCTCACACACCTGCATTCCTCTGTGGGAGGTTGCTTGACTTGTTCACTCACTGTTTGGTACATCTGAGTGTGTTCTTGAACTCCCATCTCAGTTGGGCTGAGCATTCGCCACCTTGCTTACGAGCAATGGAATGCCTTTTCACCAAGATTTGCACTTCTCATTTACACTCTGTGCTCAAGGTTTCTTTTGCTTTCGGTCTCTAGCTTCTCTCAAGCCACTCATTCCTTTAGGCAGTGCATGCTTATGCCTCATCCAGTGGATGTTACAGGATCAATGGAACCTTTCGCAAGATCCTAAATTGTGCACTTCCTCTCTCCTCTTCTTGAGGACTTGCTAGCTTGACTGTGCCAATACCACAGTGGGCATCTCCTTGCCATCCCTCTGTCTGGATTTTCTTTTTATCACAGCTGCTTCTTTGTCAGAATGTGGTGTATCTCTGAACAATAATGACTTCAGTTGTGTGTACTCCATAGGTGGATTCAGTCCACCTCAGTGTTCTAAAACTTCTCGCTGTCTATCGAGCATGTTACCATTTCCTCCCTCTTCACATGGATCAGATAGTCATGATTCGCTGTCACAATTCCGTGGTCATTTGTTATATCAGCCATCAGGAGGGGTAAACATTCCAGGACTCTTTGCTTCCATGCATTGGACCCACTTTTTTTTTATTATCATTCCCATCAGATTAATCTCAGAACTTGTCATGTGCTGGGAGCTCTGAACTTGGTGGCAAAGTGTCTCTTTCAGCCAGACAGGATTTTACCTATGGATTGGTCTCTCCACCCTCAGGTTTTTCATTGGATTTGCTCACAGTTGGGCATGCTTCTCTTTAATGCCTTTGCTACTCCTCTCAACACCAAACTTCCCCTCTTCTGGTGCACAATTCCTTCTCCTTTGGTGCTGGCAGTTGAAGCTCTCAGCCAGGGTTGGTCTTATCTTTTTTTCTGTATGTCTACACTCTTCTTCATCTCCTCCCTTGTGTTCTTGCTTTAATATGCAACACTTCTTGTTGGAACTTGTTGGTAGCACCTCTTCCACTGTCACAGCCCTGGTTTCTTCTGCTTCATCATTTGACACCCATTTGACCTTAATATAGTTTTACATGCACATACACTTACTCTGTTAAATCTGCTGGTTCCACATTCTTTATTCCACTTTTCTCTGAATACATATTTCCCTTCTCCTTTTTGCCTGTGGTCATAGTCTTTTGGATGTATGTACCATCAATGCTTCCTATACTTTCTTTGACTGTACTTATTTCTTTACCCTGACTGGGCCATTCTTGCTAAGACTTCGACTGCTTGGGAAGGTGATCATTCCTTTTCTCCTATCTCCCTCCCTTTGATTTCTGACCTCTATGCTTATTTGGAGCTAGATTGCCTCCTTTGTCAGGTTTGGGCTGTTTGGTGTTACCTGACATGTATATCTTCCTTTCAGAGTTCCCACCATCATTTGTTTCTACCTTGGGACTCTTTTTTTTTTTTTCATCCAGAGACCTATTGTTATCTACCCTTAGAGGATGGATCCACCAATTCTTTCAGTTGTGGTATTCTTCCCTGGATATTGATGCTTGCAGGCTCTTTCACATTTCCTCATATCAGGTTTGTCACTTGTCCCACTTTTGCTGAACAGTGTATAAGGTCCTTCATGCAGGCATGTGGATGACTGCACATGTTCGTCTCCCATTACCTTTATCATCTGACTGTTTTGTCTCTTGCAGGATTTTGATTACGGTCGGTGTTCATCTAAACACTGTCTTTGAGAAGGGTGAGTACCTTTTTTTTTCTTCATAATTCTCTTCTCTTTTATAGGTTCCAACCAGGTGGCTAGTGTTCTCTCCCAGGGTATGCCTATCTTTTGAAATCTGCATTGGGCCAAGGGTAATGGAAAACATTCAACCCATCTTTCATGGCTCTACCAATCCCCACTGTCAAGATGGGGTGTTCTGCAAGACCACTAGAGATATCATTGTGTTATTAATTTATTAAATTTACTCAGTTGCCTGATTCAGATCATACCTTCCAAGGACTGTCATAGAAAAAGCTGGCACCAGGGAAGTGACTGCTCACTTTTTTGGCTTGCAGTTGCCAGTTTTTAAAAATAAGGTTTCACAGTCATCCATTGTACTGTCTCCAATAAAAAGCCTTTCTGGCAGGCATCTGAGCACTTCTCTCCCTCTTCAAGTGGTGCACAGGAAACTTTCCACTTACCAGTACCTAGCTGCTGGAGTGATGGACATTGGAGAGTTCCTCACTGGTTGTGTACAGCACACTACAGTTGGAATTAGGGCAGTGATGGCACTGTCTGTATATTGTGGGTCATCCTTCAAACAGCTAGTGTGCCCTTCTTCTCCAACAGGACAGGTTCGTCACTGCTGTCCTGTCCTGTGTAGTTGAATTGAGGTGAGACACACTGTATTGTCTGACTATGCCCTAACCACACTACACTTCTTGGCCTTCTGACCACTTGTGTGCTGGTGCTTGGCTGGTCATGCTGAAATTCCACCCATCCCTGTAACTCCTGGGGCTTTTTTGCCTTTCCTTCCAGACAAAGAGTACATCTGATGAAAACAAGATGCAGTCTCCCACAAGTGTGCCCCTATAGAGCCATGGAGCCTGTGCTATTGGTTGTCACATTTCATGGGCTTTCCCTTCAGATACTTTCTGAAGGGAGCTTATCTTGGTTTAATGTTTACACCATCCCTCCCCTATTTCAATGTGCCATTCTAGGTATTCTATGTGAGGAAATAAGTTATCGTCTCAGAAGTTATCATTTTCTTTACCTGAAAATGTATTTCCGATAGATACTCGCCTCTTTCCACCCAACCTCCACACTTCTAGTGCACATTTTTTCTTGCCTCATCTAAGAATGAAGGTTATTCAAGTGCAAGTGCTTAGGGGGAGCTACTGTGCAAGGAGGTTGTGTAGCTAGTGGTGGAGGACTATCATCACACGATGATAATAACATCATGCACAAGCCCGTTTCATGTTAAACGTGTTTTCTAGGTGGTAGGTTGCTCAAGGCTAGTGGCATGTAAATCTCATAGGAAGATGTGCAAAGGAATCAAGCTATTCTGTATGTAGAGGTGAATATCTGTCAAAAATATGTTTTCAGGTAAGGAAAATGTTAATTTTTAGAAAGTGTTTTTTATATATATGCCAAAAATAAAGGCTGTGTTATTTTTCACTAAAGGAGAAATTAAGACATGTAACAGTCTACTGTAGTAAATAAACATAGTATTCCAAAAATTGTTTAATCTTGAATTCTAACTTCAAGGGAAGTCCAGTTCAATATACACTTTGATCAATGTGTGTTATTGGGTTGTACTAGTTTCAGAGAATTCCACTCATCATCAGTAACCCTGAACACAAGTTAACTCTTTCAATACAGGGTCGGTCAATGTGATGACCTCCTAACCGTTTTGTGCTTGTTATAGTTTTCATGTTATAACTTTTTAATTAGTAAGCGAATGTTAACG